TTGACATTTTTGTGATATTATATTCTTAAGACTCTTGTCTGTTTTTCTTTTGGAGTGACTGATTTTCTTTCTTCTTATTGATTTGTAGATGTGCATTTATATTTTCTCTCTCTGAGTTTTTTTTTTTTTTTTTTTTTTGGTCTTTTTGAGATAGGGTCTCAACTGACCTGGAACTTGCAATGTAGACCAGGCTGGCCTTGAACTCACAGAGATCTACCTGCCTCTGCTTCCCAAATGTTGGGATTAAAGGTGTGTACCACCATGCCCAGCTCTCTGAGTCCTTTTTAGGCTCATGTGTTACAGATATCTCCATACTATAGTTTGGCTTTTAACTCACTAATAGGTCTTATGGAAAGAAGGTCTTCACTTCCATGTCGTCATTTCTCTTGATGACTTTCTCTGGGATCTGGGTCCTGTTTACTGCCTTTCAATTCTCCAATGCCTTTAAATTGATTAAAAAAAAAACGACTTCTCCATTTTTTCTGGGTGTTCCCAATGTTCTAGTCTCCTTTCTGTTGCTATGATAAAACACTCAGACGAAAAACAACTTAAAGGAGGAAAGGGTTTACTTCAGCTTCCAGGTGGCAGTCCATCATTGAGAGAAGTCAGGGCAGGAACCCGAGCAGGAACTTGAAGCAGAAACCAGGGGGATGGTGCTTGCTGGCTTGCTCACAGGCTTGTGCTTAGCTAGCTTTCTTATACAGCCCAGGACCACTGCCTGAGGCACAGTGCTGCCTGCCCACAGGGGACTGGACCCTCCTCCATCAATCAGTAATCAATTCAATCCCCCAAACACATGCCCACAGACTAACCTGATGTAGGAAATTCCTTATTACAATTCTCTTCTTAGATGACTGTAGGCTATGTCAAGTTGACAGTTACAGGTAGCTAGAACATTAGAGGAAGAGCTGAGTAATAGCCCCCCCACTTGGTCATTATTAATTTGTCACATTTTAAACTTCTGGCATCTCCACAAAATGCAGTTAGTTTTTTCCTGATTTAATGCTGCAAACGTCCATATTGGTATTTTCATTGTACTAAACAAATATTTGATTGTCTTATTCTTCTACTCTGTAACC